TAAACTGTGAACTATTAGGTTAGGCTGGTTTTATGCAGGTTGTAGTTGTGGAGGTTCGGTTGGGGTGTAAGGAGTACCCGTATTCTATCCCCTTAGCTTGTGTTTAGAGGTTTACTTGCTGAGTACCGTGTGATTTGGTACTCACCCCTTGCTACTACATTTTTTTGTAGGTTACTAGCCCAGACCTTTGTGATATTTTTTTTCCTCCTTGTCTGAGGCTTCTTGTGGAGGTTTGTGAGGTAGCTGCTTGTCATTTCAGCGGACCTTCTTTCTCCTTATTTATGACCTAGTTCTATGCTAGAAACAATGTCATTTGAGACTTGTATTTTTTTTTTCAATTTTGTTATAACACATTAGAGACTTGTACACTTAACAACCAAATTTTGGGAGTATTTTTGTGTTTATTATAAAAATTTCTGCATTTATTTGTAATGGTTGAGTTTTAGGCTGACTTGTCTTGGTGGGATAAGACGAGTGCCATCACGTCGGTTGGGGTGTAAGGAGTACCCGTATTCTATCCCCTTAGCTTGTGTTTAGAGGTTTACTTGCTGAGTACCGTGTGATTTGGTACTCACCCCTTGCTACTACATTTTTTTGTAGGTTACTAGCCCAGACCTTTGTGATATTTTTTTTCCTCCTTGTCTGAGGCTTCTTGTGGAGGTTTGTGAGGTAGCTGCTTGTCATTTCAGCGGACCTTCTTTCTCCTTATTTATGACCTAGTTCTATGCTAGAAACAATGTCATTTGAGACTTGTATTTTTTTTTTCAATTTTGTTATAACACATTAGAGACTTGTACACTTAACAACCAAATTTTGGGAGTATTTTTGTGTTTATTATAAAAATTTCTGCATTTATTTGTAATGGTTGAGTTTTAGGCTGACTTGTCTTGGTGGGATAAGATGAGTGCCATCACGTCCATTTTTGGGTCGTGACACCTAAATATGCCATGATATTCTTGTAGCTATAAAAACTTGTTATTGAGGATAAAATAAAAGTTTAAGTTCAATTATTTCAAAATAAAAAAATTATCATTGTCATTTTAAAGGACTAATAAAGACATAATGTCATTCTCTTTTAGCAACAAAAGTGTTGTATTTTGTATCGTCTTTGTTTTGATAAGATGTGAATGATATTATTATATATAAATTACTACATGAAGCGCTAACTATTGAGTAAAGTGAGAATTTGCTATAGTGCATTGGTTTGATTGATGACCCATTAATGTTTTCAAGTACATGAGTGTTAATTGTCTATCGAAATTTCTGTATACATTTTAAATGCTTCGTTATGACTCCCAACAATATACAACAGTCAAAATAGTTGAATCACAGCATACTATAAAGATATATAACATGTAAATTATTTATCTCAAAGAAGAAAAGAAGTAGAGGTTTCTCATTTGATAAAATAAAATGTCGTTTCCAAATGGCTCAAATTTTAGTGTGTTTGGATGAAACCTTACGTGTCTATCAACAAAGGCCTCTTTATCATGCAAATTCAAAATGATCAACACGTAACAACCCCTCCATCTACTTGTCTTAACTCCATCTATTATATTACTCATATCTCTCCTCTCTGCTTTTCCACTCTTCATCTACAATCCTTAACAACAAAAAGAAGAAGAATGCAGACTCAGCCTCGTCATGAGCAGCAGCTTTCTCGTCAGGTGGCCAAGACCACCACTGCTGTCACTGTTGGTGGTTCACTCATGGTGCTTTCCGGGTTAACTCTGGCGGCTACCGTTATCGGTCTAGCTATAGTTACCCCTTTGCTGGTGATTTTCAGCCCTGTTTTGGTACCTGCTGTTATAACTCTTGGGTTGATCCTTGGTGGGTTTTTGGCTTCTGGTGGTTTTGGAGCTACTGCTTCTTTTGTTTTCTACTGGATGTACAGATATGTCACGGGGAAGCACCCGATCGGAGCAACCAAGATCGATTACGCGAGGGATAAGATTGCACATGCGGCAAATGATGTCAAGGAGAAGGCGGAGCAGTTGGGGCACCAAGCACAGCAGCAGATTAAGGGTTGAAGAGAGATTCAGTAGCTCTTTTTATTTTTAATGCAAGCATGTACCTTTTAATCGTTTGTTTGAGAATGTTGGTTTTTGTGGTAGATATCAATGGTTCTGTAACTTGATTTACTAATTAACGAGTCTGTTATTAAAATACCCAAATCCTTGTTAGTTCCTTGCTTCCTTTAAGCTTTTAGTTGAAAATGACGCCAATCATTTTTGGCACACGCTATAAAGACAAGCATGAATAGGAGGCCACCTTCTACCAAAATTATTGGCCGACAGTGAAATTACTGCAAATCTCAAAAGTAACTTACTGCAAATATATGCGCGTTACAAACAAGAAGAAACATTGTACTGGAAAAGGCAGAAACATGAAAAAAGCTAAAATTGGTTTAAACATCTCACATCCATAAAAGCCTCTAGACAGCACCATTGGCCTAAACGTTTTTGGAAATAGCAATAACGTTGAAGTTGATTGAGTCTGGATTTTTCTCGATTATCTTTTTGATAACTCTGGCTGCATCCTGTAATAAATGAGAAATACTTCCATGTCACAAAACGCATAATGGGGAGATAAAGGGTGTACAAAATCGAACCAAACCGCAAACGGAGTCAAATCGGAAAAAAAAACCCGACTAGTGGTTGGTTTGACTTGGTTTGGTGTTGAAAAAAAACCCGACTATATTTGGGTTGGTTTGGTTTTAACTAAAAAAATCAACATTTTATACATAAAAATGTTTATTTTGATATAATTTTTAAATATTTCTTCTACTTTTTCATAGTTTTTATCTTTTAATATATTATTTCAAGTTTGAAACTTAAATCTTGAATGGTTCCATAAAGATTATAATCCATAGATGTTGCTAATTATAATAAAACTTAAATCAAAATCAAATTAATACTAATGCAAAAAGAAAATCAATTCAACACTAAGAATGACAATAATATTGAATATTTGTTCTTTAGTTTTACATTGGTTTAGACAATTAAAGTACATATTCTAATTTTAATTTCCTTTAATATTTAGTCATGTAACTGATACTTATTAAACTTGTTTTAGCATGATTTAGTACTTTTAAATTATGATAATTTTCATTATGACTTGTTAATTTGCAATATTTGTTTTACGCGATTTCATTATTATTATTATTATTATTTTTTGGATATTTTAGTGTCATTAATCATATCATTGTTTGTGTTGTATTCCTAAAAAACACCTTAGATAGTTGTATTTTGGTAGGACTGGAGAAATATTTGAAGTACAAGTAAATTATGTGTTTGTATGAATACTAGCGGAAAAACCCGAAAACCCGAAAAACTCTGAAAAAACCCGAGTTTTATTGGTTTGGTTTGATTTATAGATTTAAAAATCCGACACAAATGGTTTGGTTTGATATTTGAAAAACCCGAACCAACCCAACCATGTACACCCCTAGATAAAAGGAACTTTTGTTTAAAAGTACTACTTAAAAACATTGAAGTTTACAGAGTCATACAAGTATATGATGTGAACTTTAGTTTAAAAGAACTTCTGAAAAAACGCCAAATCTTATGTAGGAGTATAAACTAAACCTTAATCCCAATTAATTGATATTTGCTTATAAGTGATATTTCTCCAGATTTGGGACCGATAATGTGATCACACGTACTGAAGAGATCCAAATTAAATTGGATGAAGCCGCGAAGGTTAGGTCTGGGTGCGAAACAAAGAAATTAGGCAACAGTCACTGACTAATTGTCATCGCTCAGTGAACTTCCCTCCCAGAGCATGGACATAATTACTTACCTTTAATAAGCTGTTTGGAGAGGATGCACCATGTGTAATAGGTCCTGCCCTCCTTCCATCAAGTTCATAGAGTTGTCCTGCAATGTGACCAAAGCTTGTGTGACTTTCAATTCCTCACCCATCATGAGTCGAGTTGAGTAATGTTGAATTGTCTAGTCAACAATCACTATATTATTCATGTCGTGGACAAAGATATAGTCATGATGCAATTTTTTCATTTCCCATAACATGCGCTCCTAGTGCTCCCCAATTTATAGTTGTTAAACTTAGGGAAAAAGAGGTTTCTCATTAGTATCAATGGACGGCAGTATGTTCTCTAAAGGAAGTGATAGGCCTAGCAGACATCTTCATAAATACAAGCTTTCATGTTTTCACAAGAAAATTACAGAAAGTGAAATGTAAATTAATGGAGATCCCAGACCCTCTAGGTGGTAGTATGCTCCATATCAACCGAACTCCTTAAACACACTCTGCAGAAAGCTACAAATGGAGTAACAGTCAAGTCGACTCCCAACAATACTCGAAAAAAAGTGAATCAACCTTGCAACTTTCTACACCAAAGCCATATTAGTAGACACTAGCAGTCTAGCATAAAGTTTGTAATGCCCAAGCACTCAGTTTACACTCCAGATGACAAATAACTACCTTCTTAACTTGGAAGCAGAATGCAGACAGTGCTTAAGTCAATTCTACGGATCACAGATACTGAGGGAGTGAGAGAAAGAGTGGAATGGAGAAGGAAATACCATCAACACAGGCGAAGCAGATGAAATGAGTGTTCACATCGTCAGTAGCCTGCAGAATGAACTCACCAGATTGATGCACATAAAACATGAAAAAACATCAAAAAGGAAATAGTGACATGTATTTTATGTCCTATACATGGGATTGTTAAACCAACAAAAGGAGTTGTCACTTCAATGGGAAAACTGATATAGAGGAAGTTTCTGACTTCATGGTCTTAAAATCCAATCAATTTAGTTGCACATCTTCAAAAAGATTTAACATAAAGCCAGCAAATGTTTTTTTCCATCTTCCATAAATCATATTCTAAAAAATTAGAACTATCTTCCATTTGAAGTTTTTAACAGAGTTTGAACTGAGGTCCACACAAAACTCTCAAACAATCTCTATATTGGCTTGCATAATAACAAAAAACTACAGCCCCTGGCTCTTGCATATCTCAGTTGCAAGAGCAGAAGCACGCAAATCCACAAAAGTGTGAGCTTTAGGAAGAGTAAATGCACCAGAGCCTAATAACAAGGTTGTTGGTTATCAACTATCTCCAAACCATCAAAACCTCTGGTGTTTGTGTTGCACACAGTTGCCAGGATTAGAGGTAGCCTCTAACATGCCCAAACTCTCTCATGCAAACAAGCCAGAGCTCAACAAGAAAGTTGTTGGTCTTCAACAAACTGCAAGCCATCAAAATCTCTGGTGTATCACAATTCACACACAATTTCCACAGAAGGCTTAGAGGTGCCAGTCTCCTATAACATGCCCAAATACTTTTTTCATGTCTCTCTGTTCCACTAATGTCGAGAAAACAAAGAGGCTGTCATAGCAGCAAACACATAGAGAAACATCCGGAACTGTGAGCTCCGGGAAATCTAAATGTACAAAAGCTGAAACCAAATATAGAAAGTTGTTCACAGCAACATTCTTTAGATCAGCAAAAGCTAAGCTGCTGCTGCCACATCACAACAGCGACACCAGGCTTGAAGGTACCACCATACATTTTTATATTTTATTTAAAAAGGGGAAATGGGGAAGGGATTACAAGATAAGGAATTAAACCCTCACCAAATATGTGAAAGTATAGGTTACCAACTGGACTACCCTACTTGGTTGCATGAATTCTTCTTCATGTTTTTCGTACTAGATCAGATCCTCCTCATTTGTGGTTGCCAATTCTCTAAATAAAATTATCTTTCTTCTTTTAAGAAAATGTCAAGAATACTCATAGATCATTGATTCAATTAATATGTCAATACATTGATGAATATTTATTCTCCGACTTACTTTACTTCTAAGTGCACCAAGGAATAATTAAGTACCAATGGAATCTTATATCAGTAATTGAAAGCATTAAGGACAAGCTGAAGGTTTTTGAATATGTTCAGCTTCAGTTTTACTTCACAGAAGCAAATAGTGTCGCGGACTCAATGACTAATGAAGGATTGAAGCTCGAGGGACAGATTTGGTATGATGAATTTGAGCAGCTTTTCAGAAAAATTAAGGCACAAATGGTAATGGATAGCATACAAATGCCTAGTTTCTGGAGTAGGCATAGATTTAGGATGAGCACTGTTTATTTGAGATATATTAGAAACACATAGATTATTCAATTCTGACCTCAGTATCACCAGCAGTGGCTGCCACTGAATGAGCAACTTCCATTTCCCTATCGTTTTCAAGGAACAAAGCACGCTGTAAATTTGTACCGGAATGTATTAGCATTGGATGACTAGAAGGATGTGACTGGCCACTAACTTCAATAACCAAAATTAATACCTGCATTGGGTCCATGCTTGAAGTTGATTTAAAGAACTTGTCCAAGAATGAACCCTCGGCTAAATGAAAAAAAAAAAACAAGCATGTCAAAACTCGGGGAAAAAAAGAAAAGAAGAACTAGGATGGAAAAAAGAGAACAGCAAAAAGGGAAGAAAAAAACGATATAGTGAACATGTAAAAAATAAAACAAAAGAATATATCTTCCAAGTTGACAAGACTGCCAATAATAAAAGAGCTTTGTGTAATTACCATAGTTCAGAGAATTTCATCTAACCACCAAAATTCTCAAGATCTTATCTCTGGTCAGGCATTTCTCAGACTATGATAATGAATGAAGAGCCTTTCCCCCTAATACTATCATCACACAACGAATCAAGCTCTTAACAGAGTAATATACTACTTGGTGCAACCATCTGTTATGATACTACCAGAAACTCTTAAGTACTCCCACCTCTAAATTACATACTTAATGCAAAGAGTTGAAACCTTCATGGTGAGAATCAGTTCATGATATATATAGAACATCAAATGACTTACTAAGTTTTATCTGAGAGGTGATATTCCCGATAGCATGAAGAAGACCAATTGTTCCGCATGCATTTCCCACTGTTTGTTTCATGTAGTAAACTGTACTACTGGGATCCTGCACCTGCCAGAAACCTCTCAAGAATAATTATTATTATGAAGCCAAATATAAGGCATAAATGTAGAAATACTCAAATGCTCCAACTCAACTTGGTCAAATAAATAGAGAAGAAACAGATAATTAAGTATATTAAGGAGATATTTAGAAGGGGCGAAAAAAAGATGTTGTAGTGATGACTGATTTATGTGACTGATGAAATATAAAATCAAGTTTCTGTTACCTGTCAAAGCCATGTATAAGATGACCTTGCAT